TCCTCAACAATGAGTTTGCCAATCCGATCAGCACGGAGGATTCATGTAGAAAAACCAACTCAGAAAGGTTATATTGGTTAGCCAGACTGGAGAAGGTCTGGGAACTCAAGATTTTATTGTTTTCTTTTATTTTTACTCATTTACTGATTAATTGTCTGGCAGTGGCTAATCACGGGTAACTGTTGAACAGAAGACCTACATGGTCTCTCCTGAGGACCCATTTCCAGGGAAATGTAACACGGAACGAAGTGAGAAGAAACTAAAGATAGGAAGACCGGCCAGGCAGCTACTAAGACTACTGTGGTCTGAAATTGGATGTTTATTTCTTCAAATGTACAGGACTCTTCTTATTTATCCTGGTGAGCACATAAGTGCAGATGGTAGTTATGTCTTCTTGACTGTTGCTGACTGTATTTTTCTGATAATTGCTAATGTTTCTGAATTTGATCTTTCATAAATAGCTACCAATAATTGATTATGTATTTCCTTTAAATTAAACAGAGAAACCAGTTTTTAAATTTTTATCATCTTTTAACAAAAAAAGAAAAATAGAGAGGAGAGAAAGCCTGCATTAGGGTTAATAGTCTGAAGAACAATAAACAGAACATAGGTATGAAAAGGAGAATGCAATAGTGATTTATGCTTTACCTCATTTAAAATCAATTCTATTGACATCTGCAATGTAAATAAGGTCAGACGTAGTCCATTTGATGAACCCAGAAACTAAAGTGGGAAAAAGATCAAATTCTTTTATTGGTTATTTCTAGCTGGGCAAAGAACAATATCTGCTGTCAATCAGATAAAAAGATTAGGCGTATTTTATGGGATTATCTGGGCCATTCAGTCTTCTTAATTGGGTATTTAGTTAATATGAATGATTGTTTATTGTCCAGATATTTATAGTATGGGGTGGATTACTTGAAGCTTATTGTTATTCTATGTGAGGTCCATTCATTTAATTATTAAAAGCTGTCATTTCATTTTATTATTCTAAATTCTTTTAGTTTAGCATTTGACTCTATAATAATACTGTATTTTAAAAATAATCATAACAGGAAAATTTCTTAATCTAGTTATCTCTTATTTTCATCAGAATAAATTAAATTAATGGATAAAAAAGATATAGGCTTTAGGTTAATATACATATATTGGATATGGAGATGATTTGCCATATTTCACTTCCTTGAAAGTCATGGTTAATGAAATAGCCAGTAGAAAGTTACCTCTACAAAGACTTATACACAATAAGTTCTAGCTTGATCTGTTTAACTGACCTAAACTTTTTCTATTTTAATAGATAGAAATCCAAGAAGACATTATGTAAGACCAAGGGTTCCATGCGTAAGTACATCCACTTTTCCTACCCGAAAGTTTCTGATTTTCATTGGGATAGTAATATCTGTCATAGCATTAAACATTGGTTGCTAAATCACATCTCAAAAACTCTAATGATGGTACAAATTAGCTTACATAAGTAATAAGGAAAGAGGGAGTTACCTATGAGCATGGCCACGAATATCTGAAACCATGTGTCCTGGCTCCAAACATTTTCTGTAGAAGAGTAAGATCCCTCCAAACACCTAGTAGGTCAACAGAATGCGTTTCTGATTATGTTGTACATTTCCGAAGCTGGGCTTGTTCTTCAATGTCACCTCTCCTTTCAGGTAGCGAGTACGGGGAGCCAGTTTGGACTCATTTCCCCAAGCTGGATCAGCAGGGCTTAGGGTAAGACTCATCTGTTGCTGCTGACCAGGCAGGCCTGTTGTATTCTTAGATCCCTCCCTGCTTACCCATGTGCCTCCTCCCAAGTCACGCTAACGGATGTTCACGCTATTGTCTGGGATCCCAACACAGACTGCACTCTGGGCAACTTCTATTACAGAAAACTAGGTTTGCTTTGGTTTTTCTCCCCTACAATGGAAATGCTGTTTTTTTTTTTTTGGTTTTTTTTTTTTCTTCTGTTTTGCTTTGAAATGTGGTTATGAAATAAATATAAGGCAACTTCAAACCTATTAGATATCTATGCACGAATGGAAGGAGAGTATAATTAAGAAAGAAGGAGCAGTGGCTTTTATCCATTGAGATTGAGGCAAGAGTTCTTGCCTGGTGCTCTCAGACTTTAAATCCTACCCGTATGAAAAAATAACTATGCTCTAGTTTTAGATCCGGACATTTGTTTTGTACAACAGAATCATTGAATGTGTGAGATGCTTGACATATACTTAGAGTAAGTGGTACTCGACGGTTTTTTTTTTTTTGAACATTTTTTGAAAAGGGGGAACCTCATGATCTGCAGAGGTCTCATGAGGCAGTGCAGGCTGGGAGGTCACTGAGCCCTCCAAACTCTTGCAGGCGCTAAAATTCCTACCGCTAGAGCAATTTCCCTAGTTGAGACCTTGTCCTCAGAAGCCTCAGAAGAGATACAAATGTTACCTGAGAGGGGAGCAACTGCACCCTGGGGCAGGTGTTAGCGCCCTCTCACAGAGCAGTATGAGAACTTAACACCTGCATGCAACCGAGGTCAGACTGAAGGAAGAAGCAATCCACAGGACTAGGTGGTGAGGGGGAATATGAGAGGCACCATATCCAGAGCCCGATCAATGGATCAGCGTGGAGAGAAGTTTCTTAGCAGTCCCCAGGGAGCCAGAGTAATGAAGCAGAGTAAACGGACTAGGACTCAGACTAGCAGTCCCAGCTTGTACGAGGCTGTGACAACTTGGGCAATTGGCTTAATTTATGTCTATAAAGCGAACATATACAAGCTAGTGAACAACTATTTTTTCTGACGAAATGAGATAACTATAAATGCTCCGCGCATACAGTCTTCAGAGTATTTCAGTGACTTTTGTGGGCTGCATAAGTGAACTCTTGCACAGATTACTCGGATAAAAAATATAGAAAGGCATTCCGGCGGGCGCGGTGGCTCACACCTGTAATCCTAGCACTCTGGGAGGCCCAGGCGGGAGGATTGTTCAAGGTCAGGAGTTCCGAGACAGCATGAGCAAGAGCTAAGCCCTGTCTCTACTAAAAATAGAGAAAATTAATTGGCCAATAAAAATATAGGAAAAATTAGCCGGCATGGTGGCGCATGCTGTAGTCCCAGCTACTGGGGAGGCTGAGGCAGGAGGATCGCTTGAGCCCAGGAGTTGGAGGTTGCTATGAGCTAGGCTGACGCCATGGCACTCTAGCCCGGTCAAGAGAGTACGACTCTGTCTTAAAAAAATATATATATTATATAAAATATAAAAATATATAAAATATATATTTATATATAATATATATATAATATATAAAATATAATATATAAATATATGGCATTCCTATCAAATTGATGTGAGCCTGTAGAAGGCCATGACTACTGTGAAGCAGAAATACAGTTGCTGACCTGGTAGTCATTCCCCAACACGCCTTCCCACTTCCCTACAGGTAGAACACGCCTCCCACCATGAAAAACGCAGGTGACGAACATATTCAGATGCTGACGCTCAACCAGGTGGTGGTTGGTACCCAGTTTGCCTAACTCCTGTGATGAGACCTTTTGTTTCTCTATAATACCGCTCTTCAAGGAAAATATATGATGATCTGGCATAAAATGATATAAAAAAGCACAGCAGTGTGGAGATAATTGAAATATGTGCAAAATCAATAAGCAGCATAGGACAATCATCAATAACAGAAGTTATCAATAAGATAAACTGTGTGCAATATTTTTAACCAGAAATACAATAAATGATATAATATACTTCTGAAATATTTTAATGTGAAATGATAAAATAAAACAATTTTCTACTACAAGAATTATAAAAATGTATAATGTCAAAAGCTCTTTATTCGGGGCACCTCCAAACTTAATGATTTCAGAAAAGCGTGGTGTTACTTTGGTAATTTATTTATTTTGTATATTAAAATTGTGAATACGCACATCAAAGCATGGGATTGTTTCTCAGGATCATTCTTTTGCTCTACTTTTATTATTATTATATTATTGGTTTTGGTTTTTTTTTTTTTGAGACAGAGTCTCACTCTGTTGCCGGGCTACACTGCCTATGGCGTCACCTAGCTCACAGCAACCTCAAAATTCTGGGTCAGCGATCCTCTGCCTCGCTCCGAGTAGCTGGACTACAGGCACGCACCACCATACCTGGCTAATTATATATAATATATTATATATACTATATATATATATATATTTAGGTGTCCAGCTAATTTCTTTCTATTTTTCTTTTCTTTTTTTTTTAGTAGAGACAGGGTCTCACTCTTGCTCAGCGCTGTATGAACTCCTGAGCTTGAGCGATCCTCCTGCCTCGACCTCCCAGAGTGCTAGGATTATAGGTGTGAGCCACCGCACCCGGCCTACTGTGGGTTTTCTAAAAGTGATCATGGCACTCTTATGCAGGAGTGAGCAGAAAAGTCTGGGGACTCTACCCAGAAGCAAGGAAAACCTTTCCTGGTGAAGCATATTGAGAAATCCTCCCTGGTGGGAGTTTCCAGACTGTCTGTGTATCCGGCAAACTTCGGTCCCAGGAGCTACGGGGAGGTGCGGAGAAGACAGAAGGCCAAATCGCTGTTTCCAAACAGGACGGAGTGAAGTCTGCCTCCCGGGACAGGAGAACGGTATCAGGGAAACTGAGTCCCCAGATGCATCGTTTTGTGCCCAGCCTCACTAGTGGCAACCGTTTTCGTTTTCATGGCATTCACTGTCCCGCGTGTGTTTGGCAACAGTAGCTGGAGTAAAAGACTGAATTTGGCAAATTATCTGTTTCTGGAGGCAGAATTCAAAGGCTGCCGTGACTGCGGGTTTGTCTTTGCGGCGTTTGTGGGGCGGCGAAACCGATCTTGGTTTCCTGAGTAACCGATGCGGTTCCCTGCATCCCGGCTGTGGCCTGGGCAGGCTCCGCACTTCCGCAAGATTATAGGCGGGAATTCCGCGAAACCCCTGTGTCTGGTTTGAATGTGTGTAACTTTCACCTATATATATATATTTTTTTGTCATTTCCCAGGAATCCACTGTGAAGAAGACATCGACGAATGCTCCTCACACCCTTGCCAGAACGGGGGCACCTGTGAGAACCTGCCCGGGGGCTACACCTGCCGCTGCCCCTTGGACGGCCCTTCCGGAACGTTCTACGGAGGGAGGGACTGCTCCGACGTGCTCCTGGGCTGCGCCCACCACCCGTGTCTGCACCAGGGGACGTGCGTGCCCCACCTGCGCGACGGCCGGCACGGGTTCCGCTGCCTGTGCCCGCCCGGCCACGCCGGGCCCGTGTGCGAAGCCGTCACCACGCTGGCCTTCTCGGGCCATGGCTTCCTGCGGGTGGCCAGCGGCCCTGCGGCGGCCCCTGCCCGGGGCCAGGCGTGCCACGTGGCCCTGCGCTTCCAGACGGACCGGCCGGACGCACTCCTGCTTTTCCGGGGCGACGGGGACGCGTCCGTGAAGCTGGAGCTGCTGGGTGGCCGCCTGCACCTGTCCGCCCGGGTCCGGGACGGGCCGGGCGTGCTCCTGTCCGTCCCCCGGGACACCAGCGACGGGGAGTGGCACGCCGTGGAGGTGGCGTTTGCAGAGACGGTGACCCTGAGCCTGACCGGCGGCGCCTGTGAGGAGGGCTGCCTCGCCCAGGCCCCTTCTCCGTTCGCAGGCGGCCGGGCGACCTGTGCGTTCCGGAGCTCCTTTCTGGGTGGTTTTCCCGCGGGGACGACCAGCGTTGCTCTGCTTGGCGCGGACGATGTGCCACCCGCACCTCCGTTCGAGGGCTGCCTCCAGGACGTCACCATCGACGGGCATCGCGTCACCCTGGAGAGCGTGTCGCCCGGCTGGTCGCTGAACGTCGGGGCAGGCTGCGCCAGGAGGGGACCGTGCCACGGCCAGCCTTGCGGGGGCAGGGGCCGCTGCGCCCACCTGGAGCCGGGCCGCCCGTGTGACTGCGACCCGCCCCACGCCGGCCCCGGCTGCCTGGCAGGTAGGTGCGGGGACCTGCAGTGCCATCCCCAGAGCAGCGGGGCGGTCGCCGCGGAAATGGCCGGGGCTGCCTCTGCCCGCGCTGAGGTCCTGCAGGGCTTGTGTGCCGGGTGCCCGGGACGGGAGGAGACAGAAAGGAAGAGGGCGGTGATGTGCGCTCACTGATTCTGAGTGGATGATGCCTCTGGCGGCAGAGTTTCGCTTCTACAGAGAGGTGAAACGATAGGCAGAGAGCTCCTTTCCAAACGCGTTTTCGCCTTGACGTTTGCAAAACGCCGTTACAATGTAACCGTTGGTTGCACATCAGAAATGTGTCCTAAATCTGAGCTGAAAGAGAATTCTTTTGGGGGGAGCAAAAAAAGGACTTTTAGACACCAAACTTGTCGATGCCACCACATTCGAGCAAGATATCTGCGCACTGTAAATTCTCGGTAAATGTTCACTCCCTTGCTCTCTTTTCTAGGCAATTCACACTTGCTCCAAAGTCCTACTTAAGTTTAGCGCTTTTATGAAAACGCCAGTTTTATTCAAAGGCATGTTTCCTAGGGTGGCTTTGGAGAAAACAGATAGTCTACCTAGGCATCTTAAAGGGGGAAAAAAATAAAGAAAGGAAGGAAATGTGGAAGTGACAGCAGTAAAACTTGGTAGATGCCATAAACGAATTGATCAAATTTCTCTAGCAAATCACCGTTTGAAAAGTATTTCAAAATCCTTAACTTCCAACGTGGTTCCAAGGATTGCTGTTGATGGTGATCAATACATACCTGTTTCTTTTTATTATTATTATTATCATGCATTAGAAAAGTCAGAGAGGTAATTGTAACAGACTGCTTTGAAGTGCAGCTGTAATTTGCCCCAAGACTTGAGAGTCCCTTGAAGGGGGACAACATCTGGTAAATACTCTTCCCTGCTTTATATGAAGCAAAATTAAAACCAGTCTCGGCCTATACCCTACGCCTTGTTCAAATGGCTAAGAATTATTAGAAACTACTCAGGGGTTTCCTCCCGACCACAGTATTCGTTACAAATCAGGGACCTGTTTGAGGATGAGGTATGGCATCTCCTAGCTCCATGTAATATTTTACATGGAATGGCAAGTTGTGTTGTGGTTTTTTTTAAAAGGAGAAAGGGGGAAATCATGCTCAGGCCATGTTCACTTTTTGAAGAAAAATTTAATTGACCTGAGGCAATATTTTTACTACATATACAAAATAACAAACAGATGCCGGCTCATTTTGACTGGCTTCCGGGCGCAGTGACCCGTGAGGTCAATACTGGCCTCGGTGAGGCTGAACTGTCCTGGTGAATAGGTTCAGGCGATGCCAGGGCAGTGGGCTCTGGTTTTTTTCTTTAGTTTATTTTTTTCCAACTTGGGAAATCATGAACTTTTTAAGCCAAGGTCCTGAATGGGTGACCCTTCCCTCTGCTTTCTCCCAGCTTCTTTCCCCCTACACGATTCGAAACTGCTCATGAAAATGTTTGGCTTCAAAAGATTATAGGGAGGGAGTTCTGTAAAATTTTTTTCTTTCTGAAAATTCTTGGTATAAAATTTAAGGGAAATTATATGTTTTTTCGTAACACCTCAGAATGTTTCTGGAGAATTTGTTCCCATTACAAATGATGCTTCAAAGCAGCAATGGGAGGGTGGAGTCTTCCTGCCATCGTACGTGTATATTCCGTAGGGAGGAGACATACTAAAGCACAAAGGCAGACTTGACCCAATTCATGATTTTGGCTCAATGCTTCCCAACCATGGGACGCATCGCAATGACCAATCAGACTGGACAGAGGATCGAGCTGGATGACCAAACACAAAAGACAGAGGCATTTCCAATATTCTAAAGTTGATCTTTTAAAAAAAAATCATCTAGGCCGTGCACGGTGGCTCACACCTGTAATCCTAGCACTCTGGAAGGCTAAGGTGGGTGGATCACTCAAGGTCAGGAGTTAGAGACCAGCCTGAGTATGAGCGAGACCCCGTCTCTACTATAAATAGAAAGAAATTAATTGGCCAACTAAAAATGCATAGAAAAAAATTATACCCAAAGAGGATATGATCATCTAATTCTTGATTTCTGTTCTTTGCAAAAAGTAAATCAAGTTTAATGACAGGTTTGTTTCAGCATGCCTTCAAATTGCAGAGATTACGACTGCCTGAACCGTCTGCTTACAGATGTTAGGTGAAGTGCTTTGCCCTGAAATTCCTTCCACCAAGTTAGAGCACTGACGTTCCACCGTTAGGCCCCGGCATTTGGGGGCCGAGAAGGGGAGGTTCTTCAGTTCATCAGTGCAGAGATCTTCTTTGTCTCTTTTTTAATCACTGGGACTCTTCTCTAAATTATAAACCAAAATGTAGTTATTTGAGGGATGAACTTCGAAGATCAGAAAATGGGGCCAAATCATTACTCTATACCAGGCGTCCTCAAACTACGGCCCTCGGGCCACACGCGGGTGCTTTTGCCCGTTTGTTTTTTCACTTCAAGGCAAGATATGTGCAGTGTGCATAGGAATTTGTTCATAGTTTTTTTTTTTTTTAAACTATGGTCCGGCCCTCCAACGGTCTGAGGGACGGCGAACTGGCCCCCCTGTTTGAAAAGTTTGAGGACCCCTGCTCTATAGAATAAGCCTGCCTTGAAGTTTAGAAAGTATGTACAACTGTGTGTGTGTGTGTGCAAAATTTTCACATGTGTATACAAAATATTCATCTTCTGTTCCCTTCTTACTTCAGAGTCTCAAGATGTTTCTTTTTTTTTCCTCCTCCTCCTCTATGTTGCCACGGAAGAGCACGTCGCGGGCAGATTCGGCCACGAGGGCTCCACGGGGTACGCTGCCTTCCCGCTCGAGGAAAGCAACATGGAGAACATCAGCTTTTCCATGCTCGTCCGCACGCGCCGGCCGTCGGGCCTGCTTCTGGCTTTGCAGAGCGGCGCCCGGCGACAGGTCCGCGTCTGGATAGAGCACGGAAGGCTGGCCATGCTGGCTCCAGGCTCCCCCGGGTTGGCCGGGAAGTTTGCCATCAGTGACGGACATGTCCACTCGGTGTCTCTGGGAATCGAGCCAGGCAAAATTGAGCTCTACCAGTCCTCGCAAAGCCTGGGATTTATTGCTGCTCCCGCCTGGAAGATCCAAAGGGGAGATGTGGTCTACCTGGGTGGCCTGCCTGACAGGCAAGAGACCCAGCTCAACGGCGGGTTTTTCAAAGGCTGTATCCAAGATGTAAGACTGAACAGTCAGAACCTGGAATTCTTCCCCAATTCAACAGGTAATGATGCATCTCTCAACCCTGTTCTCGTCAACGTGACCCAAGGCTGCCCTGGAGACGACATGTGTAAGGTAGGAGTGTTCGTACCAACAGTGCACCTATCATATGCTAAACTTCTGTTTTATTGAATAGAACAATTCGTTAAAACCATTCCTGGTCCGTGAAGACAATGCCACTGAGCCTTCAGACACAGAATACAGCTTCCTGTGTGTTTTCCCCAGCAAGACTGGGCAGTTTACAGCGAGCCACAGAAACACGACCTTCATCTTACTGGTATCATGGTCTGTTTAAGCAATCAAAGTAACTCCAGCTACAGGGCTCTCCTAGCTCACGACAATCAGATTACTTAACAATAATAGCATCTTCATTCCTAAATTCTTAATGACATCCCGGAGGTTTAACATAATTAACGTTTTTAGGAAGATGCCATTAACTTTATCTTAAATGTCCAGCTACTATTGTTTTGATCTCTGATTAAGTTAACAAGGAAAGAAAACCTGAGAGGTAACTTCCTTTTGGTAGTTGGGTTTTAAATCTTCTGAAATGTAATTTCTCAGAGCCCATGCTTTTATCTTACATGTTTTGTGTGCTCCTCTAAGAGCTGCTTAAATATAAGAAATTGTCAACCCTGCATGACCTCCCAGAAGGAAAAGAAAGAAACATATTTATATGTGTGTCTCCAACCATTTTCATGCATTAAGTTTGGTTCTAAACGCAAAACAAATGAATTGTTGTAACATTATTATAGGAATACTTACAATGTATCCGGCACTATTTCCGCATGAATTAATCCATTTAATTCTGCTGAAGGACTACTACATAGAGCAGGCGTTGTGGTCCCAATTGATGTTATTTACAGATAAAGAAACTGAAGGTTAGAAAGGTCGTGTCACTAGCCCAAGTCACATGTTAATGGTGAATTAGGAACAAATACAGTCCAAGCTCTAATAAAGCTCTTTTTAAATACTTTTATTTTGAATACTTTGTGAGTTATCTTGTGAGATCTCCCATAACAGCATGTCTCTGATTCAGAGGTAGAATGACCAGTGGGGGGTGGAGGCGGGTTGGGGCGTTCACCAAATTGGGACCCAGAGGATCTAAGTACCAAGTTTCATTATTTCACCCATTTATAAGATCTTGGGAAACTATAGAGGCCTCAGTTTCCTCATGTGTATAATAAACACTTAACAGCTTCTACCTAAAATGATCATGAGTGCATGTGAAAAAGTAGCTGGTGATTTGTAAATCACAGAGAGTATGGTTATACTTTTAAAAATCCTCCTTGTATTATTGATCAATTTTACATATTTTTTGTCTCCTTCTCCTCTTTCTTTCTCTCCCTCACTCTCTTTGAGAGAGGAGTTTGCAATGGGAGTAGTCAGTTTCATGCTGTTTAATAAACAGTGGTTTTTAAAAGTTTAAAGTGTAAGTATACAGGGAAATTAGTGTTTCAAAATAACAGGTACCGTGTTTCCCCCTAAATAAGACCTCCTAATAAAATAAGCCCCAGCAGGATTTCTGAGCATTTGCGCAAGAGAAGCCCCACCCCGAAAATCAGCCCTAGTGACGGGCGTGGCTGCACAGCGCGTCTGCACAACCCGTGCATTTCGTCGTGGAGCGGGAAAGAAGATGAGCAGCCCTTCCCATCTGCCCCGTGAGAGCTCTGTTGCTCGACATGAGAGATTGGGGCCGATGGTTCTAAAGGAAATAGAGTTGCAAGACATTCAGGATGGAATTCGGGGTTTGGAGAGTTATGATGATGTTCCAGAAGAGGACTTCACTCTATTTGAATAAATGTAGATAGCAGTGCTGTACTTAAAAAAAAGTAACACATCCCCTGAAAATAAGCCCTAGGGTGTCTTTTTGAGGAAAAATAAATATAAGACCCTGTCTTATTTTCGGGGAAACGCGGTATGTGTTCTCAGCTTCACCATTTTGGTATTTAGTTGCCTTCGATTTCTTTTCCGCTCAGTCCAAGCCCTGCCACAACGGAGGCACCTGCCGTTCCCTGTGGGACGACTTCTCGTGTTCCTGCCCTGCGCACGCCGCCGGGAAGACGTGCGAGGAGGCTCGGTGGTGCGAGCTCAGCCCCTGCCCTCCCGGAGCCCAGTGCCAGCCGGTGCCTCGAGGATTCGAATGTAGGTGCAGTTCAAACCCAGCATCCCTCGACTAAGCTGGGGCATCTTATTTGTTCCAGGAGGAAATGCAGAAAAAGCACACAGACACAGCCAGTTCACCAGACGAATCTGGGCTGTTCCCCTGCTGAGCAGGCTCACGCGCCTGAGATGGGCAGAATGACGGACCCCTCGGACCTCTTGTCTCACCTGCCCTGAGGGTGTCTGTGTGGCACATGCAGGCCACAGCGGCACCACAGCTAGATGTGTGATCACTGAGAGCTGACTTCTCAAGAAATAATTAGCTGGGGATCATCATATTTGACCTTCTTTTCCTCTCTACTGAGAATACAGAGCAAATGTGCTCCTGTGAGCACACTGTCATTTATTAACCGTGAGGTCTCAGGAAATTCAGGTGAGCTCTCTGATCTGAAGCTTCCTCACCTGTAAAAGAGAGATAACAATATCCATTTTGTAGATATTTTTGTGATGATTATATAATCTCCTGTGTAGGCAATCAAATGCATTATGGGAATTGCCTTCAATATGAATGCCTTCCCACCCATCTTCTGCTCTGCAGAACACACTTCCCCAAGTGTTAGCAATTTGCATACTATACTATATCCACAATTGCAACATATCCACATATTAACCATATTATATATATATATATGTATATATATATACACACACATACACACACATTTTTTTTGGAGACAGGAATCTCGCTCTGTTGCTCTGGGTAGGGTGCAGTGGCGTCAGCCTAGCTCACAGCAACCTCAATCTCCTGGGCTCAAGTGATCTTCCTGCTTCAGCCTCCCAAGTAGCTGGGACTACAGGCATGTGTCACCACGCCCAGCTAATTTTTTCTGTATATATATATTTTTTCAGGACCCAGCCCTCAAGGAGCCACAGTCATGGAATTTTTCTGTATATTTTTAGTTGGCCAATTAACTTCTTTCTATTTTTGGTAGAGACGGGGTCTCGCTCTTGCTCAGGCTGGTCTTGAACTCCTGACCTCAAGCGATCCTCTCGCCTCGGCCTCCCAGAGTGCTAGGATTCCAGGTGTGAGCCACCGCGCCCGGCCCAGCTTCATATTTCTTGATATCACTTACCACGCTTGTGGGTGTTTAGAATCTAGGGTTTCTCTCTAGATGTGGTGGTGGCCAACGCGGGTCTGGGTTGAGGAGCGGTTGAGTGTTGGTCTGCATGGCGATGGAACCAGGGACGCCGAGAAGGATTGGTCCGTCCGTTTGAAAGATGGCGAGGGTTGGGTGTCGTGCCTGACAAGCGAGGTCATGACCAGGTGGTTAAGGTCAGTCGCTACCGAAAAGCAGAATGCGAGGAGAAAAGAGAATTGGCCCCTGGATTGAGTAAGGTGACATCGTTCCTTGTAACCTTGGCGACAGTGGTCTCGGCGAAGTGGTCGGGACGAAAGCTGGAGTGGCGTGGGTGAAAGAGAAACTGGGACGTGAGAAAGTGGAGACGATGAGGACATGAAATGACCGGGAGAAGTTCCGCTGGCAAAGCGAATAAGGAAATAAGAAAGCAGCAGGGTGGGGGATGCCAGGGTAGTGTTTCTGGGTCTTGTGCCTGTTTTTACTTTCTAAGATCGAGAAACAGTTACAGCCTAGTTGCACATACTGATGAGAAACAACGAAAAGGAAGGGGAAATGGAGACGCAGCACAGAACGAGGCTGTCCGTAGGGATCACGCCTCCAAAAGGTGGGCGTGGAAGGGCTCCGGCGCACCACTAGAAGGTTGGTCTAGGATGGGAGTAGGGACAGTCAGCGCATCCGTTGTAACCGGACGGAGAGCAGAGAGCGTCCAGACACCGTTAGTTTTCCAGATCTGGTGGAAAGCAGGAACGGGGGTCACTGTTTCTCCTGTTTTCTCAAGAAAGTATCACTGTAGATAATACGCTGAGATAGTATCAGATATTTTAAGAGACAGAACAAGCTGTGAGCTAATGACCTTGTAGAACGGAAAGAATATTTCTAATAGAGAAATGCAATAAGATTGCCCAGCAGTTCCTGCTCCCATGTAATATACGGGCATAGAGCGAAGCAGTGGACGCGATTACATATTTCCTCCCAGCCATGTGAAAGTCCTTGGGTAGAGTGCAGAGCTGGTAGCTTGGCACATAATTTTGGTGTTTTGCTGATTGGCTTAATCAGAAACCAGACTCCATTGTCAATTTGGTCTGTCACCGTAGCTAGATGTGTAATTTCTTTGTGCTCAATTTCTTTACGTATAAAATGGACAACGTATGCATGCTTTGTTTGTGGGAGCAAATGCGAAATAAAAATCGGCATGCATTATTAGGACTTCAACGGAAAACCAACGTGTGGTTTGGGTTTTGGTGTCAGACCATCCAGGTTTGACATTCTGCCTTTATTATCTATTAATTACATGACCATGAACAAATAACTTCCGTGAGCCTCAAATTCTCCTTTCGTAAAAGAGGGATAATGACAATAATAAGACCTGTCTTGAGGAGTCCTATATTAGGAATGGTATGAAAGCAACTGTCACAGTACCTGGCATGTCTCAGTCAAAATGTGATGTCATTAACACGACGGTCATTACTGTTAATAAAGGCATTTAAGCAAACTATGGATTTAACGAAGTTGCTGATCAGCACTGCCTTCTGTCTTTAGGCGTTGCGAATGCCGTCTTCCACGGGCAAAGCGGTGCAGTCGTGTTCAGGAGCAACGGGAACATCACCAGAGAACTCACCAACATCACATTTGGCTTCAGGACAAGGGACGCGAACGCCATGATACTGCACGCAGAAAGAGAGCCCGAGTTCCTCGATATCAGCATTCGGGATTCCAGGTTATTCTTTCAGCTGCAAAGCGGCAACAGCTTCTACGTGCTGCGCCTGGCGAGCCCGCAGCCGGTGAGCGACGGCATGTGGCACGAGGTGACGTTTGCCATGGCAGACCCGCTGGCCCAGGCCTCCGGGTGGCGGATGGAGGTGGACAGCCGGGCACCGCCCGTGGCCAGCGCGGTTGCGGCTGGAAGCCTCGCCTTTCTGAAGGACGACACAGACATCCACGTGGGCGACCGGGCCACTGGCAACACCACGGGGGGCCTGGAGGGGTGCCTCGGCACGATAGAAATCGGAGGCATCCACCTCCCGTACTTTGGAGACGCTCGTGGTTCCGCCAGTAGACCCCAGGAAGAGCAGTTTCTCAGGATCTCCGCCCGTTCCGTGGCGACGGGGTGTCTGCGGCTGAATGCCTGCAGCTCCAGCCCCTGTTTGCACGGGGGGGACTGCGAAGACGCCTACAGCTCCTATCACTGCTCCTGCCCCCTGGGGTGGTCCGGGGCACGCTGCGAGCTCCGCGTGGACGGGTGCTTTCCAAACCCCTGTATCCATGGCAACTGCTCCGCCGCGGGCGCCGCGGCGGCCTACCTCTGCAGATGTGAGCCGGGCTACGCCGGGGCGAACTGCGAGGTGGAAACAGACCACTGCCAGCGCCACCAGTGTGCCAACGGGGCCACCTGCCTCAGTGGCATTCACGGCTATGCTTGCCTCTGTCCTGGAAATTTTACAGGAAGGTTTTGCAGGTGAGCGTTAACGTCCTCGTGAAGGGTGGTCTTTGGAGCTGAGCTCTCTGCATGGGTTTTTCTTGTCGGACCGGAAAGTTCTCTCTTCGATGTACGCGCGTGTGCCGTGCTGGACAGGCCTGGCACTGGTTGGTCACTTGTACCACGATCTGCTCACGCCAGGACAGGGTCTCACTGGCTGGGGTGTTCCACAAGTGGGAACGGTGGTGTTTCCACCAGACTTTTAAGCAAAGTGTTTTCTCGGCCGTCTGTGTTAGAGTGTCTCTCATCACCTGCAGCCCCAGGGTCTGACGGCTTTAAGGCCTCAGGAAACAGGTACATTTACAATACATACAGAAGTTGAATTTCAGTGCTGTCAGGGAAGGCATGACTCTTACTGCTAAAATAATGCCCTGGGTCACTTCATGCAGGTAAATGTTGTTAAAATCCTGACGAGACTACGTTACAGGACACAGCAGTCCCTGGAACTACTCCAGGGTTAGGAGTGCCTACCCCCGTGCAGTCGAAAACCCACTTATAGCTTTGTCTCCCCCAAAACAATCATTAATAGCCCCTACTGTTGGCCGGGCGTGGTGGCTCACGCCTGTAATCCTAGCACTCTGAGAGGCCGAGGTGGGTGGATTGCTCCAGGTCAGGAGTTCGAAACCAGCCTGAGCAAGAGCGAGACCCCATCTCTACTATAAATAGAAAGAAATTAATTGGACAACTAATATACATAGAAAAAACTTAGCCGGGCATGGTGGCGCATGCCTGTAGTCCCAGCTACTCGGGAGGCTGAGGCAGGAGGATTGCTTGAGCCCAGGAGTTTGAGGTTGCTGTGAGCTAGGCTGACGCCACGGCACTCACTCTAGCCTGGGCAACAAAGCGAGACTCTGTCTCAAAACAAACAAACAAACAAACAATAGCCTACTGTTGACCAAAAGCCTTAGCAATAACATCAACAGTCAATTAATGCATGCTTCGGGTATGTGTTATATACTATATTCTTACGATAAAGTAAGCTAGAGAAAAGAAAATGCAATTAAGAAAATGGTAAGGAAGAGAAAATATGTCTACTATTTATTAAGTGGAAGTGGATCATTGTAGAGGTCTTCATTCTTGTCTTGACATTGAGTAGCCTGAGGAAGAGGAAGAGGAGGAGGAAGAGGAGGGCTTGATCTTGGTGGCTCAGGGCTGGCTGAAGCAGAAGAAACTCTGTGTGAGTGGACCTCTGCCATTCAAACATGTGCTGTTCAAGGTCAAGTGTAATTTCAAAAATGTGAAATACGACTCCCAGACAAATATAAAGTGAAAATGCTTTGATAATTTTATTGTGATTTAATGAGGGAACTTATATAAAAACCTGGTCAAAAGATAATCTAAAGAATATATATATGTATATATATATACATACATATATATAGAGAGAGAGGTCTATTTATATTTACATAAGAACAAGGAAATGAGTTTACAAATAAATGCAAAACTGCTTACTATCCTATAAGGCAATGAAAATTGATGTTTGAAATCATCTTTTCTGTAATCTGACAATCAACTGTGTTGCTCATTACAAATTTATTTGCATTTTGATGCAAACAAGGTTCATACATATTAATATCATTTTCTAAAACTTACAGGATTCTTCTATAGCTTAGGTAAAGAAAATCTAAAGCACACATCACTACAAAATCAGGCATCCTTAGCGGGTCCTAGCATTCCACTGAAAGAATACCCAGTCATCTCTTACCCATTTCAAAGTATTTCCCAGTTTTTCCCTAAAACTGCAAAAGCAGTGTTTTAATTCTGGTAACCACCTCCATTTCATGTTATATAAACAGAGATAAGAAAAATATTTTCCTTCTAAGTCACATTGCTTCAATATTTCCATGTAAGTAGAAGTCGTTATTGTTTTTACAACTTACGCTGCTTTAAACTTACTAAATAATTGAGTCATTATGGGGAGGTGAGAGGGTTATTATTAACAAGTAATACATTCCAGGACTTTGGCAAGAACACCTGGAGTGGGTTGGCCTGTAGACAGTACACTGATTCAGAGGTGGTGCCTTAGTTGCATGAATCTCCTAGCAGACATAACATTTAGCCGCGCCCAAAAGAAGTTTTGTATCTCTCCGTAACGTCTATTGTAGCTCAGAGCCTATGAAGGCAAGACACAGTGACAGGCGCCAAGTGTTGACATTCCTGTGAGGTATTATTTCCCATGAGTTAGCCAACTCCTTTGCCAATGGATAATCTGCTTCTATAAAAGCAAGAGAAATTCAGGATCAAGATCAGTAGTATTCCACAGTGACTCTTGATGAGCAAAAGAAACATATAGGCCCTAGCAACTAGCTCCCCAATTTTTTTTTTCCTTCCTAATTCATCAAAGTCAAGTTCTCAAAGACTCAAGTTCTCAAAAGCACCTTCTAATGAGATGCAGGAATTGTTTATTAAACCTAAGACGTATAGGGAAGCTCGATATTTGCATTGCTAATCGACGCCTTTCAAAGCTGGTTGACATTTTTGGCTCTTTTGAAAAGTCCTTATGATATCTTCTTTTTTAAAAGTAGCATTGATTAGCTCTTGTGGGAAGAGACACACTTAGCATCCTGCAGTCCGTTTCTCTAAATTAGCCGCAGCACACGCCACAGGACAGAATTCGATTCATGTTTACACTTCCTGGACGTCTACTAGGTATCAGATGTCAGGCACCTATACGGTGTGCCAGAGAGCCTGAGCAACACCGTTCAAATCGTTTCAAAAGTGGGTGCCTCCAAACCAGTGGAGTTTGTCTTGCAAATAAGCTCTGCTGATCTGCTAACAACTCGTTTCCTTCTGCAAGGATTCTGCAACACGTACAGCTCTGTTGCTATGTAAGACAGCCACTCTCCGAACTCACACGCAGTCACCGTTCAGTGCTACACACAAACCTCCCGGACAGCATTTGGCTCGCGTTCTGCGCGGTTATGATTTACTAGACAGGGAGCAGCAAGCCCTGGCAGGGCAACCGGAGTTCAGCTCCGAAAGCCAGTGGAGAAATCACATGAGTGCTTGGGTACCAGAGTGCTGGCCTTGCTCCGCTGGCCTTTACAGAGATGCGATTTTCCTATGGCCTTGCTTGATTTATTCGCAAAGCAGCGGCAAATCCGGTTATAGCAAGAGTTCTTTTCCAGCCCCTGAATTTATTGCCGCCTCGTGGCATAGATCTTGTCTCAGAAATGAAAACTGCGTAGAAACGGAAGATCTATAGCCCGTGCTTGTCTCGGGACCCTCTGGCAGGAGGTTTTTGCTGGAGAAAGGGATGCTTTTAAGAGTACAGCACAATTTAGCATGTGCAGCCCCTCCAGCCCGAGTGCTTGATTAGTTTGGCAGGGACTAACGCATACGAGTTTATCGGAATTTTTTTTTTTCCTGAATGAAATGAACGTGATGAACAGCTGTGACTGCTGCTCTTATCTCTCCAGGCAGAGCAGATTGCCCGCGACAGTCTGTGGGAACGAGCAGAGAAACCTCACGTGCTACAACGGGGGCAACTGCACGGAGCTGCCGGCCGGGCCCGCTTGCCTGTGCGGGGAAGGCTTCGCCGGGGAGCGGTGAGTCACGTGAGGGCTTCCTGGAAGACAATTCCGGGCTCAAGAACGGTGGGAGTGCTCGAAGTTCGTTTTTCCCTCCAACTTTTCATCTCGGTTCCCATAGGAAAATCTGTGCTGAAATATGGGTCCAGACAGAGCCAAGCAATAAAAGAAGAAGAAAAATTACCCTTTAGGTCAAAGGAGAGAACATTTTATCAGCCAAGACTGCAAATGGGAAAATATGATTTTTAAAAATGCAAAATGTGCTATTTTTCTTTCTTGTAAGTACTTCTGTGCTTACAAGAAAAATTCAGGGTTTTTTTCCCCCTCCCCCCACTAACTCTAACACATGATGCCAATATGCTGGCTGTTGAAGTAGAATAAAACGCACCTGAAAGAACGGCCCCACAGAACTGCCCGCAACCCAGAAAGTGCATGCACCCGATCCAGGTGAGTCTGCCTTTCCCAGAGGAGACTCCCCTTCAACCAGCGCAGGAATTATTACGACGGAGTTGGTCGATGGCTTCAGGTGACCTGTGACCTGCTGAAAATGTGGCACGTTTCGGATATGTCCTTGACTGGCCAGGGGTGGGGGCGAGGGTAGAAGGGCTGCATGCTCCATGGCTTTTATATCAGATTCTCAGAGGGACCTCGGTTCCGAAAACAGTTGCAAACCAGGGCTCTGCTGAATACGGGCGTTATATAGACAGATGATAAGCAGTCAACCGTTTGTTGAGCTCTATGCCATGCACCTTACAAACGCCACCCCTGACCCTCATAGCCCTGCAAGGAAGGTTTTACGGTGTTCGCTCTGCCTGTGGGTAAACTGAGGCTGAGAAGCGACAGGCGAGGTTCCGATCCGAAGGAACAGTAAGGCTGCATGCAGTAAGGCTGAGCTGCCTTCAAGGCCTCTGCTCATCTGTTCCATGTGCCGGCCACACTGTGTGAATAATTCCTTGCTCACCGTAATTTTTTAAAAGTGGAAAAAGTGCTCCTCTGTCTCCTATACCACCCAGGGTAAGATACAGTGATATCTGACCAGGCTTTCTACCTTGAACGAATTAAATAAATTAAAATCAAACACATTTGACAAAGAGATTTTGACTGAATTAAATTCCCCATAAGGGTAGTTAGTAAAAGCATGCGCTCCATGACAATGATTACACTTAGGATTAATTTGAATTTTCTATTTTTCGGCTGGCTCTTTTGGTATCACACAGATATACAGATTTTTTTTTTTTTTTTTTTTTGCCAGTTTTACAAAACAGCAGGAACCTGGGGTATGCTTGCCCTTTACCCTTCTTCCGTTCAATGGCCAGTCTAATCCTTCCTTTTGCGGTCTGCCCTCCACGCTGGGCGCTAAGTGGCGCAGGCAGCCCAAGCGGAAGGAAGGAGCAGGTCCAAGTCACATGCTGCTTTCCACCGCACCGATTTCTGTCATGCAACTTACTCACTCTGAAACCGTTCGGTTGGCCTCCAATTCTGTATATCTTCAAAATATTGCCATTTTGTTTTTTGTCCTACATTTTGAACAACTCCTTAACTGTCTTTAGGGGCTGGTAACTTCCTGGCTGATGGCCACAGTTTCCGCTTCATGGCACACTGCCTACAGCTCTTCCAAAGCCTTGCAGGATTTTTCTCTGCTACTCACACATTGTCTCTATTTACAACAAATGTTTCCCTTTCCTCTGTATTTGCTTAAAAAAAAAATTTATATTTGGCACTTAAATTCAAATGATTGATTTGAAACGTGGAAAGAAAAGAAAGCTCAGACTTTTTACTCCCCTTTCCCAGTGAACCTTTCATCTGGATAAACGTCTCTGAGGCAAAATTATCTCTCAAACGGTGAACCCGTGTTCAATAGGTTCTGTTCTCACGAAGTCCTTAACCTCAGCCACCATTCTGTTCCTTCGCTAACTGCTAATGGATTTATTTTTACTTTGCATCCATTAATTGGATGAATCATGAAAGCTCCAATGATGCTTATAATGCACGTGTGTGTGTGTTGTTCCCTGTTTAGTTCAGAAGAAAAAATAGGTAAGAAAGCAAAAAAAAAAAAAAAGGGCAGCTAGCTAGAGGAAGACTAGAAAACAGTGGGCAATCTCCCACAGCCCAGGAAGATGTGCCTTCCACAACGCCTGAGGACACTGAAGATATTTATCCTCCAATAAGTTGGCTTCCCCCCGGCCTCGCAGAAACCTCCAACTTTCTGGTGTCGTCCCGGCAGGTTTGGGGTGATAGATGGCGCGAACGCTCGGCCCACCCAGGACAGAGTGCTTGGCAGGCGTCGGGGATCCTCAAGTCCCGCTCCGACCTAATCACAGGAGTCTGTTCCAACCCAGAAGCATGAGCCAAAAAAGGAAAAACAGAATGTCTCAGCTATGCTCGGCATCCCGCGGGATAAGGAGCTGTTTTTCTTGGAAGGGATCTTTGTTTTCCTTTATGCCTTGGGCTGGCCGTGCTCGCCACCTCACCCCCTTTCATTCTGCGCCTGGCCACGAGTCTCTGACTCAAGACAGGCCAGTCTTACCGTTTGGGAGGTAAAGGAAAGAAAAAGGGGGAAATTAAAAAAAAAAAAAGTCGTTTATATCAAACTTTTCAACATCCTAAGCTGCACTGCAGAGAGTCCCGAAACTAAGATTTTTGTATGAATTTCCCGAAGTAAAACAGTAAGTGCTCTAGCCCAAGATCTTAGCAGAGTACTTGGCATATAGTAAGTGTTAAATAAATATCAACTGAGTAACTGAATGAAGGATTGGTGGATGAATCAATGACTACACAAAGAAGTGCTTGGTGGGAAATTAGGCAAAAAAAAAAAAAGACAGCATCCCAGGGAAAGGAAAACCTTCAATTTACCTTAGAATGGATGTCTTCTTGCTTTGCAAAATTTGGCTTTTTTGAACGTCATTCTACCAAAACATTCATGAATTATGGTTGGCTATGGAAACGCATTTATTAGCAAGGAAAATGTTCTAAGTATTTACTTTTGCTAATAAAAAAAGGGGGGGGGAGGCATTTCAAAGAAAATAATTCAGAATCTCCCAAAATAAACCTTTTTTTTTTTTTTTTAAATCTCTCTTTGGTAAATTTTTCCCTCAGCCAGAGGGAACTGATGCATCAGGGTCCAGACAGCCTGAATGCGGGTTTGCTCTGCAGACTCCCGGTTGGCAAAATGCAGCCTCACCCTCGTGACCCCAGTGGGCCCCTCATAAACCGAGCGTCAGGGTGAAGTGGCAACCCCATTGATGCTCTTGAAGGAGAGATTGGCCCATGCACGGCCCAGTTTCCTTTTGGTTTCTAAATACCGTGTTTCCCCGAAAATAAGACCCATCCATAAAATAAGCCCTAGCAGGATTTCTAAGCATTTTCACAATAGAAGCCCTACCCCGAAAATAAGCCCTAGTGGTGGGCGTGGCTATGCAGCGCGTCTGCACAACCCGTGCATGTCGTCCCGGAGCGGGAAAGAAGCCGAGCAGCCCTTCTCGTCTGCCCCAGGAGAGCTCTGTGGCTCCACAGGAGATATTGGGGCCAGTGGTTCTAAAGGAAATAGAGTCTCAAGACATTCAGGATGGGATTCGGGGTTTGGAGAGTGATGATGATGTTCCAGAAGAAGACGACTTCACTCTATTTGAATTTAAATGTAGACGGTTGTACCGTGCTTAAAAAAAAAAAATGACACATCCCCTGAAAATAAGCCCCGGGTTGTCTTCTTGAGGAAGAATAAATATAAGACCCCGTCTTATTTTTCAGGGAAACACGGTATCTGCACGTTTTCTCGTTCTAACGAGAATCAGAAACTGCAAACCGTCTCCGCTAAAACCAAAGCCGGCTACAGGAGTTGTAAGGGACGTCTCCCGCGTCGTGGAGCCCAGAGAGACTGTGTGGGGGCGGGCAGAGGCTGAGGGTTAGGGTTCTTTGTTGTTGTTTTTTCCTTTCCCTGTTTTGCAGCCGACTTACCCGGCGGGGCCCTGGCTGTCTGCCCCTCTGCTTGCCTTCCAGGTGCGAGGAGGACGTGGACGAGTGCGCCTCGGGCCCCTGCCTCCACGGCGGCCGGTGCCGGGACCTGCGCGGCCGCTTCCAGTGCCTGTGCGGGGCGGCCTTCGCGGGCGAGCGCTGCGAGCTGGACGTGAGCGGCCTGTCCTTCTATGTCTCCCTCCTGCTCTGGCAGAACCTCTTCCAGCTGCTCTCCTACCTCCTGCTGCGCATGAGCGACCAGCCCGTGGTCGAGTGGGGCGAGCAGGAGTATTAGCGCGGCCCTGGGCACCCCCCGACGGCAGAGCCCCCACGGGCTTTCCAGAAATGCCTTCAATGGGCAGGGCGCGGCAGCTAGTAGCTGTCACCCCAGCCCCCTGGGAGGCCGAGGCGGGAGGATCACTCGAGGCCAGGAGTTCGAGGCCAGCTTGAGCAAGAGCGAGACCCCCCACACACACCGTCTCTACTAAAAAAAAAAAAATAGAAAGAAACTGGCTGCACAACTAAAAATATATAGAAAATATTAGCCAGATGCGGTGGCTCACGCCTGTAGTCCCAGCTACTCAGGGGGCCGAGGCGGGAGGATCGCTCGAGGCCAGGAGTTCAAGACCAGCCTGAGCAAGAGCGAGACCCCGTCTCTACTGAACAAATAGAAAGAAGTTAATTGGCCAACTAAAATTGTATAGAAAAAATTAGCCGGGCATGGTGGTGCGCGCCTGTAGTCCCAGCTACTCGGGAGGCTGAGGCAGGAGGATCGCTTGAGCCCAGGAGTTTGAGGTTTGCTGTGAGCTAGGCTGACGCCACGGCACTCTAGCCTGGGCAGCAAAGTGAGACTCTGTCTAAAAAAAGAAAGAAAGAAAAAGAGAGAGAGAGAGAGAGAGAGAGAAAGGGAGAAAGGGAGAGAGAGAGAGAAAGAGAGAGAGAGAAACAAAGAAACAAAGAAAGAAGAAATTCCTTGACTCATTTCAGATCTCTGAAAAAAAAGGGGGGGAGAAACCATCTTGAAAATTAGAATAAATTCAAGACCTCGTATAAGCATATCACAAGCACTTCATGTGCATATAAAATATTTTCCCTCCCTAGTTTTAAATATGAAAAAAAATATTTTCTTTGCATAATCAGAAATATCTCATTTTTGAGGGTATTTGGTACAGGTATATTATAATCCTTAACACCTTCTATATTTGAATGACCGTCTGCAGTTAGGAGCCATTCTCTTCCCACTCCATTCCGTGTACGTAAGTCGGTTCATATTGTAAGTTGCCCTCAATCACCACGATTCTATTTTCATTTATGTTCTTCCATTCTCATCTGTTATTCATGGCATGAAAATCTGAAAGTTCCTGATTAAGCTTACTGAGCATATTCATTTATGTTTTCATACAAAGCTATTTAAATGAACTGTTGCCAGTTCTCTGATGCGTGATAAATATGTAAAGAGAAGGCGGGGAACCACATCAAATCATCCCTAAAGATGTAGAAAGAGAATTATCTGGTATCAAGACTCAGATCATTCCTCACCAAGATAATTTTTGATTCCATAAAACTACCCTGTTCCAACAAAGTGATAATCTTCTTTCTCTTTCTTTTCCTGTGATATTTTCCCTTTCACAAATAGAAAAAATTTTTTGTTAATTGCTTATGAATTTGTGAGCTTGTTGAGTTCTCTATTGGACTGATTTCAGTTGCTTTCAGAATATTTAATGAAAATAAGGACTGTAGTTTCTGCACACACCAAAAAGGTATATATTACAAAACTTGAATTTTCCTAGAGGCATGTTGATCTGAAATCGGCAAGCAAATTTATACTCTTCAAGTATCTTTCTGGAAAAAAAAAAAACCATAAAAACATACCTATTATGATAAAATTATCTTTGGCATTATAATTTTTCAAAAGAAATGTATGTCTGGAATGATGGCTACATAAAGTAAATTAATGAGTTACAAAAATTAATATATTCTTAATTATAAAGATTATAGAGATTATAAAATAGTAATAAGAAAAAGGCTATTTGCTAATGTTTTTATGGTTTCTACTGACATGTTATCATTTACGCTAAATATCTTCGTATGGACATATCCTTCCAAAGGAGGCTTTATTTATATTCATTTAAAATGAAGATAGTTTGATCCTATGAATTAATTCAGAAAGCAACTAAAATAACAACAGCCTGCCAGTGTCATTTTGTCAATGTCTGTAGGAGCTGCCCTGGTTTGAAAATGTGAGGATGATCTATTCATTGGACGATATCCAATGCTCATTGAACACCGATTGTTTTAAGAAAGTTGTTTTTTCTGTGGAAATGACCAAGGTAAATTTAAATATACCATTCAAACAAACAAAGCTAAAACAGAATACTATAAAGGCAAAGGAAATGTATCCCATTTTATGTTGCAACAGTAATAGGAGATTTTACGTAGCAAACTCATACTTTGGAGGATGATGGGCAGTCATTTCAACCTGGGATCGACTCACCTTGAACTTCCTTTTATACTCACCCATTTCCCTCACTTCCAAGACTGCTGCTTCCGATGATCCGTCCCAAAGTTAGATTTTGTGGCGAGAATCTTGGAGAAAACCTCCCCATCAATACTTGCATTCACGAGTATTCTCGATAAGCAAAAAATAGATTATCGCCAAAGACCCTGTGTGTAGTTTTCACCTTTACTGCCCTCCTAGACATGCCCGTTCTTTGGTGAAGGTCGTTCCAGATGTAAGATGTCCCTCACCAAACATATGCAAGAAACAGCCACTCACAGTCCTCCTCTGTGTGCTGTCACTGTAGTTGTCAACCGCTTCTCAGTCTCCCAAATGTCTTGCTGTCACGAGATATCTGACTTAGAAAGCTGTCCCCTCTCTCTTTGTTCTTCTGTATTTTCAACTGCCCTGTGTGTGACTGTGGCTCTTACATGTTTGCACAGAAAAATAAAACCTTTGTTTCTATATCTTCTGTTTCTCATCCTCTGATGTACGTGCCTTCGTTTGCCTGGCCTGTGTCTTGCACAGTAGAATGTCCACCAGCTGGACACGCACACACGCATACAGGCACGCACTACATACATAGACACACACACCACACACAGACACAGACACACACACCACACACATACCACACACATACACACACACAGACACACACACCACACACAGACACACACACACATAAACACACACACAGACACAGACACACACACCACACACAGACACACACACACCACACACATACACACACACAGACACACACATCACACACAGACACACACACACACATAAACACACACACAGACACACACATACACACACACAAACACACACACCACACACAGACACACACACACATAAACACACACACAGACACACACACCACACACATACACACACACACCACACACATACACACACACACAGACACACACACCACACACATAGACACATACACAGACACACACACCACACACATAGACACACACACAGACACACACACAGACACACACACCACACACATAGACACACACACACAGACACACCACACACATACATACAGATACACACACCACACACATAGACACACACACACACATAGACACACACATAGACACACACACACACATAGACACACACATAGACACACACCACATACATAGACACACACATAGACACACACCACATACACAGACATACACACGTAGACACACACACACATAGACACACAGACACACACACCACACACATAGACACACACAGACACACACACATAGACACACACACCACACACACATAGATACACAACACACACACAGACACACACACATAGACACACACACCATACACACATAGACACACAACACACACACAGACACACACACATAGACACACACACCACACACACATAGACACACAACACACACATGAAATCTGGGTTTAGTGACTTAGGAAATCAGTGAAGGAAAGACATCTGTGCTTTTCAACTGCCAATCTCACCGACACAGCTCTACGTTTTTTGATTTATTCAACAAATGTTTAACACGTAACTACGGTGTGTGGTACTAAGTCCTGGCACACAGCCGTGACTCAGACATCCTGTTTTGGTCTCCACGTCCTGTTTTGGTGTGAGCTCTTCGTGAATAGGGTGGGCATTCTCTCTCCAGCCTCATCCCTCGGCTGTCCCCCCGCAAACCCCACTCTGCAGCCACGTGGGACTTTGTACGTCCCCTTGGCCCGTCCACGGCTTGTCACGGCTCTTCCCTTGCTCTCTGCTCCTCCCAGCTGGCTCGAGGTTCCCTCTTCTCCGCCCGGCAAACTCCTGGCCTTCCTCACATCCCAGATCCAGTCTCAGTCCATCGTTTCTCTGCCCCAGAAAAAGCTTAATGTTTCATTCCTGCACTTCCTTGCTACTTTGTGCTTCTTTTCTCGTGCTTATTATTCGGTCATCGAATGATCTGTGCACATGAACAAAAACAGCATTCCATAATAAACTCAACAGAGGCAGGGGCTGTCTAACACTGCTGACGTAGCTTTACAAATGTTCGTAAAAGAATTATCTGCAGCAGTAACATGGGCATCTTGAGAAGAAATTACTTTCTTATTTCAATATTTTTATGATAATAAGGATAAACGTTTAATCTACCTAGAATGAAATTTATCATGATACGCTTGTAGCTGCGTGAGAAAATGCAGGATATTTGATAATACAAGTAAGAATTGATTGCTAAAGGCAGGCGTCCTCAAACTATGACCTGCGGGCCACATGCAGGTGTTTTTGCCTGTTTGTTTTTTTACTTCAAAATAAGATATGTGCAGTGTGCACAGGAATTTGTTCATAGTTTTTTTTAAAACTATAGTCCGGCCATCCAACGGTGGTGAGGGACAGTGAACTGGCCCCCTGTTTAAAAAGTTTGAGGACGCCTGGCTACAGGTCTGCATAGCAATGTCGAAAGAGCAGTGGGTATGTCAGTCTGCGTTTTTATTTTCCTTTGGTTGTGTCGGCTGCTTTGAAATCTTTGCTAATTCCAACACCTGGGTCATCTTGTGATTGGTCTCCATTAATCAAATTTCCTCTTGCGTGTGTGTTTCATTGTTCTGTTTATTTTTTTAATCTAGTAATTTTGGATTGCATCCTGGGCGTCGTGTGTTATATGTTGTAGAGGCTGTTA